CAACAAATCATGGTCCCCAAGGGAAATTTTAAACCCCCCCCCCCAACTATAATTAATCTTAACATAAAGCATGTCTAAATAAGGGACAGGTAGCAAGAGAGCTGTCATTATAGTCAGTACATGGGACCAATGCCTTGGACAGAAGTCAGGGAAGAGGTGCATCAGTGCAGGGAATTCAGTTTTAACATTAATTCCCAGTTAACTACTTTTGTGCCCAGTAGCTCACAAGTCTTTTTTGGCCTCTGAGATTTTAGGGTCTCAGTGTAAAATTCTAAGCCTTCCCACCCTTAAGAATAGACGCCACAGCATGCAAGTGCTGGTAGAGATGGTGTGGTAGTCAATAAAAAGAAAAACAATAGTTGTAGTAGCAATAATAAGGACCACTATAATTTTATATTATGACAAAATTGACTTTTGTCGAACATAGAGGGCCATTCACAGTCCTGAAAATTGAGCATGGTACGGCCAGCTTTAATTTCAGTGCTGGCCGGGATGACTAAAAGCTCTGAGGACAAAAAATTTATATTACTACGTCAGCTAAACAAATTCCCTCTATTGGACAGCCAGCAAAGGGGATCTGTGACTAGCAACAGCAATTCTAAAGTCTCCTCTTGTACATGTGACATCAGCTCTTCTTGATTGGAAATGTCATGGGGTGGGGGGAGGAGGTGTACAGGGTCAGTGTCAACAGCAGTCTCGGCAATGCTTAATAATACAGTGATGAATGTGTTATGGTCACATGCACACACAGCCTTTGTAATACAGATCATCTATTCAACTTCACCAAAAGCATATGTTAGGGGAAAAAATAACACATATACAGCACATCTCTGCAATACATGCTGAACACCCATGTTTTATCCCTTTAAAGACCCGGCAACTACAGAAAAAATAACTGTTGATTTGCCAGATATGCACTTAACTCCTGATTTCCTCTTTTAGGCTGACAACACTTACCTTTTCTGCACTGAAATAAAAAAAAATGGTGTCAGCCCTGCCCAGCTTTCTCTTTCTAAACTACAGAATCCCTCCTACACCCATCATCTCCATAACATAGGGAGTAATGGTTATGTAGTCCCTAGTTTAGAACTTGGGGGTGGGGGGACTAATTGGGCTCCTTGAGATAAGACAGGAAGAGTGCATGGGAGAGCTCTGAATTTCTGGCAGGATCAACAGGTATTTTTTGCATTTGTTGAATAGGTAGAACAAGACACTTTCTTGGAAATAATTAACAGACCAAAAGAGAGCAAATGGCAATGTTTAATTGTTGGGTTTCACATCCACCTTAAACCCTTTAACCCTAACCCTCCCATGTTATCCATATCTAGGACCTATAGCTGTAATATTTAGATTGCAAGCCTGCCTGCCAATTCTGAATTGTCACTGCAACCACAGTGTCTTAAAAGGCTGATTTTAATTACTGGATGCAACGCTTTTGCTCGTAGACTTGAAAAGACATGATAAAATTGCTCAGAATTGGGATCTCTTTGAAATTCACCAAAGCCTGCTTTCTGATGAGCTGTGAATGGCCGGAGTGAGAATGATCAAAGTGTGTAGAATATAAAAGGAGCTCTTCTAGAACAAAGATCAGACCGATTCATAAATATGCAGCAATGTTCTTCTCCTTCATGAGCTCTGAGACTTGACTGGCATTTGCAATGGGTGCTTACAAAAATTGTGTGTCCCTCAGTCACCTTCATTCCACTCTGGTTTCCCTATAACTTTTCAGCTGTGACATGCTGCTCTAAAGGGGTGAGCACACACAGGGTCTCATTTTTGTAATCATTTCACATGTGTCTGACTGTTAGAAAAATGTTATGGGGCTTTATCTGTATATTTGGGAGGCAGGGATGTTGGGGAGGTGCCTTATGTTACCTGCACAGGATTATGTTCACCATTTGAGTATTTTAAATGTAGGAAATATGCCCTGAGTTTCTAGGACATATCTCCTTGTACAGTATGTTCAGCTCATCTTTCCTGTCAGGTCTCGTTCACACCAGATACAGTGCATTCCGGCCCGATTCTGGCCAGAATGCACTCCCATCGCATTGTGGCCGGTTTAGTATGTTGTGCGGCAGGAGGGGGCGTAGTGGTCCATTGAAGTGAATGGCACCGTAGCCATGCCCTCTGGCATGGCACATTTTGCCTTTGGTCCGGTCCGAACAAAATAGTGCTTGCAGCATTTTGTTCGGACCGGATCAGACCGCAGGCATAATGTGCCTTGTGATCCCGTGCGGCCAGTCACATTGCGACCTGAGGGCATGGCTACGGTGCCATTCACATCAAAGGACCGGCACGCCCCCTCCCGCCCCACAACATAGTGAGCCGGCCACAATGCGATGCAGTGCGCTCTGGCAAGAATCGGGCCAGAACGCACTGTATCTGGTGTGGACGAGACCCCTCACTGCTTCCTGCGTTATCAAAATAAAACTGGCAATAGCCTTGTATTACATAGCAGGAGCAGCTGTTAGAATGCAGCCACTCCTGTAAAAAATGACACTTGCAGACAGTCTACAATTGTCATTGAGTAATACAATTTAACAATGTCTGTGAAGGTTCTCATTCATCCAGGTCATGGTATATCTGTAAAAAATAAATCAAGACAACTGGACTTGCTGTATTTTTCCTGAAGACATTTCGCTGGTCATCCGACTGGCTTTATCAATTCAAAAAAGTTTTTGACCTGCAAAAGCTAGTCAAATGACCAGCGAAACATCTTCAAGAAAGATACAGCAAGTCCAGTGGCCTTGATTGTATTTTTTATAGATATACAGTGTATCAATGTATTGTTATGTTGTATTTACTATTTCTACTATTTCAAGGTATAACCTTTAATCTACATGTGACATCAGTGAAAGAAACCTTTAAAAAAACCTTTTAAATAAATGCATTACTAAATAACCCCCTATTAACCCTAAGTTAAAGCTAATCAACCCTAATTATTCCCCCCCACCCCACTCCCACCCTTCTTCCTTTAGCTGCTTTTTGTGGAGATATTTTTTTTAAATTCAGACAATTGCCTTTTTTTTTTTACTTATGTTTTGTTTTTCAGTGTTGCATAAAAAATATGCAAAAATCTAACAAAAAAAGTTACTTTATTTGCAAATAACCGCGCAATTCTGTGTACATTATTTTAGTGTTGTTTTAAATTAGAATAAAACAAATACTTTTTTTTTTCCTTTTACTGTAAAACTGCTATTTGTAAAATTAAAATAACACATAGAAAATAAAATAATTTTGTAAGACAATATTGACAAAGAAAGCCTAGTTTGTCCCCTCCCCCCAAAAATGTATGTGTTATTTTGTCATAAATGAAGTAATTAAATCATCATCTCTGAATAAATAAACCCATAGCAAAAATGATTAAAATTGCTGTATAAGCCGTATGAAAGCAGAAGTGGTTAAGAAACTTGAGATTGAGCTGACAACTCAGTTTCTGCTGTAATTTATCATCCCTGCCTAATTCTCTTCTATGGACTACAGAGCCCCCAATGTTATGGCGATGAGGAGAGGGGGAAGTGTTCTGTGGTCCTAACACACTTCTTGTCCTAGCCTGAAAAAAGGGAACCTAATGCAGCCACTACATCTAAGGACTGATAGCTGCAATATGTTTAATTTTTGTCATTGGGTTTTAATAAATCCCTTGGATGAACTGACCCTTTAATTAAGGGTTAGCTTTTAGCCCCCAGAGGCCATGGGGCAGGTGGCAGAATGCTTAATTTGCAGGAATCAGTGTACCTGTTATTATGCCATTGGTTACTTAGTTCTGCTTGTCATGACAGTAAGAAATGTAATGATCCCCCTGGGATTAGTAGTTCCACAACACGTGGGAGGAATGACAGCTGTATTTATTTGCAATGTCTAAGTTGGCAGTAAGTCATAGTTCATCCCTGCTAACGGCTTTTCCTTTTCTGTATTTTTCTCCTTTCAGCAAAAGTTGCAGTTTATCAGTGTGCTGGGTGCCGGCTTGCTCTGTGGAACAGCGCTGGCTATAATTATACCTGAGGGGATTGAGCTGCTGGAGGGATCTTCTAAAGGTTAGTGGAATCCCTAAAGGTTTTTGGTTGTCTCTGGACATAATGTTTTGGCTGGAACGGTTGCAAAGGTTGGAGTCAAAATGATCTAAAATGACTTTATATGTTGTAGTGTTAACAGTATCCTTCACCTGAACCCATTCATTTGGAGGGATGTCAAGATACTTTGTACATATAGTTCAGTTTCTGGAGTTTTGCTAAGCATTTGACAATCTGCCCCCCAGTGCTGGATACTCCAGGGAGTTCACATTTGTACAGCAGAGGGACTCAGTGGTAAGCACACCCACCTTGCAGCATTGGGTTCGCATTTGCATCCCCAACATATTCAGAAATCAAAAGATCTCACTGCACTCCTTACCGAAGAGAAAAGACCCATGCGGACGGGTGGGTGCTTGTAGTGGCCACGGATGGCACTGTGATAAGATCAGAAAGAAAATAACGTCACCAGCACTCCAAAGTATAATCAAGCAATAGTCCATTTATTGGCACATTGCCATTCAAATGCAAGCGCTTTCGGGGCCTCAGAGGGTCCCCTTCATCAGGCTCAGAATGATGAAGCCTTATGAAGGGGACCCTCTGAGGCCCCGAAAGCGCTTGCATTTGAATGACAATGTGCCAATAAATGGACTATTGCTTGATTATACTTTGGAGTGCTTGTGATGTTATTTTCTTTCTGCATCCCAAACATGACACTATCTGCATGGAGTTTGTACGTTCTCCCTGTGCTTGCATGGATTTCCTTTTGGGTAATCCAGTTTCCTTCAACACTCCAAAGACATGCTGGTAGGTTAATTGGCTCCTGTCTAAATCGGTCCCAGTATGTTTATGTATGCATGTAAGATAGCGACCTTAGACTGTGAGCTCCTTGAGAGCGGGGACTGATGTGAATGTGTGCAGTAGGTGAAGCGCTGTGTAAAGTGTCACTATATCAATACCTGTATTACATAATCACAGTGGTTGGGTTTGTGTCTTTCTGGCAGGATCTCCAGCTAAATGCTTGAATGTTGCCCAGAATGTCAATATGACAGAGGCTGTGGCGATGGAGGAGGAAGTCATAGAAATTGCTTCTACTATCCCACCCCACTTCTTCATTGGGGTCTTCCTGGTCACCGGATTTATTCTGATGTTTATCGTGGACCAGATAGGAAGCTACTGCTCTCATCATGGTGAGTTTCATCCCTAATGTCATGTAAAAGTGACCCGGTGTCATGTAAAGTGAACCTGTGATTTACCAAAGCAAGGTACAGCAAGTTAACCTTAAATTAGGTGTAAAAGTTAGCTGAATGACATTTAGTTTGTGCATCGTAAGCAGGGCTTAAAAAATCCACTCGTCCTCTTGTCTGTGACGAGAAGATGCCGGAGCTGGATGAGTAGCTTCCCGGCTGGCTGTTTTAATTAAACGCCCGGCCGGGAGCTTTACATTCAAGCGATCAGGCGTCTCTAGATCACTAGTCGCTGTTACTGCCGTTGCCGGTCCCGAGATCGGCTGTTCCCGGCACGGCTGCACTGTCACAGGAGATCAAAGGTAGATCGGTACACGATCTCCCTCTGATCTCCTCTCCAGTCCCCCGAATTCAGGAAGTGATGTATATTACATCACTTCCGCATTCAGCTGTCTTTCCCGGCTACAGAAACTGGGAAGAAGCTGGTGAAGCAGGTCTCTGCTTCATCAGCTTCTCTGCGGGTCCCTAGGTGACAGGGGTCTTGGAGACCCCTGATGTCTCCATAAAGAGGACCTGTCATGTAAATTGGCTATCACATAGGGGGTTTCTTAGCCTTATACATTTAAGTGTAAAAAAAAGAAAAAGGAGTAATAAAAAAAAGTATAATTTTTTTTTAAATACACGCAAACATGCGTCTCGTGCATCTACGTGCGAAAACACCTATTGTGCCACACATGTTACATATCACTGCGAATGTTGCAGTGCAATAATTTTAGGGCCATTAATCATTGATAACACTAACCCGATGAGCAGTAAAAGCGTTTAAAGCGCAGCCTATGACCAATTTTCGGTGTGGTCGTTTTTTTTGATTTTGCGGACACACGCAATTTTGAGGCTTGACATGTTTGGTGTCTATTTACCCGACGTGACCCCGTGCCTTATGTTTTACCAAAAATATGGGTAAGAATTTTTTTTTTAACATAACGTAGGGAAAACATTAATTTTTTTTCCAAAATTGACGGTACTTTTTAAAATTATATAGTAAAAAATAACCCCCCCCCCCTCCCCAGTGGTGATTATATACCTCCAAAAGAAAGCTCTATGTGTCCCCAAAAAATGTTAAAATGAATTGCAATGCTATAGTCCAGTCATGCTTAAATAGTTGTTTTCCCCTTTTTCTTTCCTTGAGTGGTAACAAGGTATTCAGTGGAAATGTTGCTGTCTGCCTTTCATACTAGACCAGGCCTGGGCATTTTCCGGGCCTTGGGTGTGCGGTGGTCCAGCCCATCGACCTGCACTCTGTTATGGGTGGCTGACCGCGGTGTGTTTAACGTGTGTGCCGGCTGCTGAGGTACCCGCTAAGCAGCGACTAACTCATGGTACTGAGCAACGCACCTACTGTGTGTTACAGTGCAGCAGGTGTGTTGCATGCATTACTTTTTTCAACTGCACCACAATGCACAATATAGCGGTACAGTGTGTTGCGGCGCAATTAATCGCATTGTGGCCAGGAGGTATCTTTGGTGTGCCATTTAAAAGAATGCCGGGGCAACGCACCTGTTGCATTGTAATGCACGGTCGGTGTGCTGTACTGTGTGTTAATCGGTTCGGCCCTTCACAGCCATCAGTGTCTCATGTGGCCCCTCAAGGAAATGAATTGCCCACCCCCGGTCTAAACTGATAATAATGATAATCATTGCTTTGTTTTCAGACCCCAGGACGGGAATGTCTGCAGGAACGAGCATCACGGCCACGCTGGGTCTGGTCATCCACGCTGCAGGTAAATGTCACCTGGTAGACTGGGCACAAACCAGGGACAGCCATGTGCTGCAGGGTATGGGGAGCTCATGAGCAAAGCATGTCGGGGCCCAAAGGGTCCAGCAAAAATGTTCTTTTTCAGTTTCGGATACAGAGGTGATGGGTTGGAATCTCTGTTAGGGTTTTTTTTTTATAGTCTATGACAAGGGTAGGAACCTCAGCCCTCTAGCTGTTGTGGAACTACAAGTCCCATAAGGCATTGCAAGACTCTGACAGCCACAGACATGACTTCCAGAGGCAGATGCATGATGGGATGCGTAGTTACAGCAAAGCTGGAGGGCCGAGGCTCCCTAACCAGGATCTGTGAGGTTTTGTTGGGGAGATTTCCTCTCACTACCTGTCCCAGTGACAACAGTGTCGCCAGGACAGAATGCAGGGACAAGGACACCAAGGGTTAAATCTTCTGACAACTTTTTATTGTTGTCTGTTTCCTTGTTGCAGACTTTTTTTGTTTCTCATTTCTTACTCACTGACAATGTTGACCCCAGAACAGTAAGGAAGGGCAAATCTCCAACAGGGGTGCAGTTGGCTATGAGAACACTTTTTTTATCGTAGGGTAGGGGGATGCTGGAACCTCCCTTTAGCTTTTTTTTTCTATATGTGCTCACAATGCAGATATTCACTTCCTGTCAAGGACAGGAAGTGAGAGGTAATCTCCCAAAGAATCGTTCAGACAACAATAAAAGTATCAAAACTAAACAAAAAGAAGTTTTGTCTGGAGTTACCCTTTAAGGTCACCTGAGTGAACTCCAACGTTTACTATAGTTGTATTGCCCTTTAATTTTACATGTAACTCCGGCCTTCCCTTCAGTCTTGCACAGTTGTACCGGCCCCTCTCCTGGACTGAAATGTCTTACTCTGATATAACCGCACACGGCGAGCTTCTCACAATGTGCATTAGAAGGTGCCGCCAATCAGAGCCCAACTAATTTCCTAGGTGTCGCTGGCCCACCTACTTTCACTCATTGGATTTCAGCTAATACAAACATGGAGGCTCAGCATCACATTTGGGTGTTATCTAGGTTGGTCTTAAGCAGGGGCGTCCCAAGGCTGAGTGACACCCGGAGCAGAGACCGGGTGACACCCCGCCGTGACGTCATCGCGCATGCGCGGTCGTATTATTGACTCCTGGCGGCGGCCATCTTGGTGATGGACACGGGCAGATAGAGGGGGGGGAGGGGGGGTGGGCGTTCCCCCGGCGAGATGATGTATGCCGCCGGGTCCCCTCCTCTCTCCTGACACTGTCTGGCTCTCGGTCCGTGACCGAGAGCCTGACTTTTCATAGGGGGTGACACCAAATTGACTGCTAGTCATTTCGGTGTCACCCGGGTGCGGGCCGCACCCCACTTGTGACGCCACAAGTGCATCCTCCCTAGGTACACCCATTCCTCCAGGTTTATACATACTGATCAAGGCATTTTGATATTTGCATAACTCCTCCTCTGAGACAGCCCACTGCTTGCATCAGAGCTCTTGAGAGGAGTACTCAGCTATATACAGCCCCCCCGCCTGCCCCTACCACCTGCATTGCTTAGAGAAGCACAGAGACCAGTGATGATGTCACCGGGACTTAAATAACAAATGTAATGAAGATGGAAAGGTTCTTATTGAAAAATATCATTAGCATGTTGCTGGAGGGGGGAAGGCGGAACCAGGGAAAGTAAAATATAATCTGATTAACCTTCAATTGTTATAATGCCTTCTAGCCATAGGGTGTATGCTGCCTGCTCCTGATGATAATCTCCGGGCTCTGGTGACCTAATCAGCAGCTACTAATTGGGCCAATCATTTTCCACTGATGGAGCAGAGATCTATTGCTTTGCCTGGCTAAAGGTGCCCACACACCTTACAATTTATCTGCAGATTTATGGTGAGATGGAAAAGGTGCAACAGATTCCTCCATCTACGCTACACTGTGTGGATGGAGGAATCTCCACCTGGGCCAATCTGTTGCACTTTTTCCATCTGACCACAGAAAATCTGCAGATAAATTGTAAGGTGTGTGGGCACCTTAAGAGATTCTGCTTCGGAAACATAAGTAGCCCATCCATCCAGGATCCAGCCCAGGGACAGCTTGGCCCGTGCTAATAGCGCCATATCTGTGCTTGATCTTGATTAAACGTCTTCTGAAAACAGATGAATCCTCCGGTGAGGGCAGTTTGAGTTATCCCCGAGACGGATCTGGTGTTTTATTACCCGCCGACGTGTCCTGAAGCACAGATTTGTGAGGCTTACCTTCGGCCGGTAGTGAGGAAGTGACAAGTAATTGTGTTGTGGGAATTGTGCGTCTGGAATGCTAACCATAAACACTGCGCACATTACAAGTCACGTAGGGACAGTTATAGCTGAGCGCGCCATTTGTACATTTACTGGATTGTTGTCACTTCCAGTTGTACTGGTATCATGCTGAAGGCTTGAAAGTCAGTTAAAGGAGAACTCCAGGGAATTCTCCTTTTAACTGACCCCCAAACTACAAGGGTTAAGTGCTCGTTTTGTCTAGGGCAGGGGTGGTGGAACTACAAGTCCCATGAGGCTTTGCAAGACTGACAGTTACAGGCATGGCCCTCAGAGGCATGATAGGATGTGCAGTTTCACCACAGGTGGATGACTGAAGTTGCCTGTCTCTGATCTAGGGGCTCATATAAAGCATATATACTCCCCTGATCCTCGGCCCCCCAGCAGTCAGTGCTCACCTCACCCCTCCCCCCCCCAATCTGCTACAACGGTGGTATGACCCTCGTTGTCTTCACGTCTAATGTAGGTCAGTAGACCTAATGATGTCAGTGGGGCTTAGAATGTCAGAGCCCAGGGGAGAAGAGGCTGCAGGGATCAGTCTAGCAGCCTGGTGGGAACCTGCAGAACCAAGGATCAGTTGAGTTTTCTGCTTTATTTGAGCCCCCTAGAGTGGCACTTAACCCTTGCAGTGCAGGGGTAGCCCCACTGCAAGTGGCATCACTTGCAGTGGGGCACCGGGGTGCCACCATTGGAGGGGTGACATGCGCGATGACGTCACGGCGTGGTGTCACCTGGTCTCTGGTCTCCAAGCCTCGGGACGCCCCTGTGCAAGTGTAAGTCTTTTTTTGTTTGCCTGGAGTTCTTCAAAAGCCCAACAGAAATTGGAAGAAAATATGTTTAATCCCAAACTGCATAGAAGATTATTTACTGTTAGAGCAGTAATATTGGGGAACTCCCTTCCCCGGGTAGTGGTATCAGCTGAAAGTATAAACACATTCAAGAGACTTTTTTGGATGTCCTCCTCAGTGAATGCAATATACAGGGATATGAATATAGTGAACACACACACATACGTTGAACTGTGTCTTTATTCAACCTTAACAACTATGTAATGGGATGAAATGGGGGGAAAAATAATTTCTCAAGCAAAATTGTACAGCGATGTGGTTTTCATTTCAAGAAACTGAATTATTTTCCAAAATTGAATGTCTCTGATTATTGAATGTCCAAAAAATAATGTTCATGCAAAAGTCTAGCAGTGTATAGCCAGCTTAAGTGGAGCTGAAATGCTCGCGCGCGCACACACACACACACGTACATGAGCTGGAGCAGTGACTCCTCTCTCCATACTGCTACTTTGAAGGTTTCAATTAGAGACAGGGTGTCTGAAAGGAGACCGCCTCTGCTTTGCTCTCTAGAGAAAAGACATAGGGGGAGCTTTATTCATTCTGTTACATGGCAGAGCTGAGCTAAACAGGGGCAGTGAGACAGGTTTACTACAAGGTTACAGCATAAGTCATAAATTCTTTCCTCAGCTTCTCTAAAGTAGCTCTGCAGATAAAATAAATCATGACCCTGACCGCTTCCCATGTGACTGTTTAGAGGGAAACTCTGTTGCATGTTCAGTAATAAATCTGTCTCAGGACTTTGCAATCTGTTGCATTTGGCAGTTTAGGAATTGTAAACCTGTCGCAGAGTTTTTCTGAAGGAGAGGCGGCCTGATTTGTGACTAATTATGTCACTAATCTGCTTGATAAATGTCCCCCTGTAGTGTTCTGTGAATCCTGGGTCAGGGACACACTATGTATCAAATCCCAGAATCAGGTTGGACACAAAAATTGGGATGGACAGACTGTAGCAATGGGTCAGTTTGCATAATAGATAAAAAGTACCTGAGCAAAAAAAAACAAAACACCACCTATGCAGTACAGCTCTGCAATGCATGCACATTTCCAGTGTTTTACCCCTTTAAAAAATATACACGTAAAGAAAATACTTGTTGATCTGCCAGAAATCCAGTGCGCTCCTAAGCCCCGGACTGACAACCCTGCTGCACTAAAATTCCAAGCAGTGAGCTGACAACTCTGACTCTGCTGCACTGAAACCCCAAGCAGTGTTGTAAGCCCTCCTGACTGAGTTCTCCTATACTGTACTACAGAACTCCTACCCCCTATGTTATGGAAATAAGGACAGAGGCAGAGTAGTCAACCCACTACAGGAAAGCTCGCTGGATTTCTGGCAGCTCAATAGATGTTTTAAGGCCCCGTTTACACACCGGGGCGGTTCGGCCGCGTGGATCCGCCGACATGAACAATCCCTTATATTGCTATAGGGACCATTCATGCGACCGCACGTGCGCCAAACCGCCTCCCTCCCGAATTGCTCCCTGAGCTTCTTTTTCCGCGCTGATCAGCACGGTTTCCATACAGCTTTCGATGGAACCGCACTGATCAGCACAGTTTTGGGAGTTTTTAATCAGCTCTGAAACGCAACTCAAAACGCCCAAAACCGCCTTTTTTTTAAAATCGCGCGGAAACCGCACTGATCCCCACTTGTCCTGGTGTGAACTGGGCCTACAGGAGTAACGCATGGGAAAATGTGCCGGAGTTGTAGCGATGCACTGAATGTTGTTTTTTTATTTATTTATTTTTATTTACCCAGACATACACTTTTTTATTATCCCTCAAGAAAAAAAGCACAAACGTGTCTGTTTGGAGAATCCTTCTCCTTTTTTATGTTAAAATGTTCACATAATGAAATATTAAAGCTCGAGTATTACATTCCCCTCGGGTGTCGGCCATGTATATCCAGAATTCAGCATCTGTGAAACATTTAATTTTCTCCCCGAGAGGAAAGATCCTCTAATGTTGTATTATAAGTATATAGAATAGGAGATGAAGGGCTGCGCTGTGATTGGCCCCATGGACTATTCGTGGTAGACTGAGCTAAGCTGGGCCCTCGAGAAGTCATTATTCCAGAATTAGACATTACGATCCAGGAACACCTGACACCTGTCAGGCCTGCAGCACAATAATAAGATCGGGGATGGTACAGACGAAGAGCACTTTAAAGGGAACGGATCTCGGAGAATGCTTTTTATTAATTTATTAAATCTTTTACTTTGTAACACAAGTACAGTGAGACATGAAGGATGAAAAGGGAAACATAACGGAGGCCATAGCACAGCGTGTCACTGCAAATAAATGTGCGGCACAAAATGTCTCATCGTCATAAATTAAAGGGGTCAAACATTAACTGGTATGTGAAAGTGATGTCAATGTGTAAATGCATCTGCACCTAGAGGGAAAGAGGTTTAACCTCCCCTTACCTACGGATTCTTTACAGTAAGAGCTGTAAAAAAAAAGTTGAATAGTCTTCCACAGGAGCCAGTTCTAGCCAGCTCTGTAGATTGCTTCAAGATGTATTCCTACAACCACTGCCTGAGTCCTGTAAGGAGGCAGAGAAGAGGCTGGTGAGAATCTGACCGGCTTTGAACTAACTGACTCTCTTCTGTCCTCTACAGCTGATGGGGTTGCCCTTGGGGCCGCGGTTGCGTCTTCTCAGGTCTCTGTACAAGTCATTGTCTTCTTTGCAGTCATCCTACATAAGGTGAGAGAGGCTTAAAGAATAAATGCGGTTTCAAGAAAGTTTGCAAACATAACCATTCTCTTTGTTTCCTTTCTCCTGCTGTGCCCTTCTTTTGGAATCATAAGCGGTTTGTTTAAATTAATTTTCCATTGCTGATATCTGATAAAGCTGCTAGTAGAGGTCCGCGGATATCTACAAAGCATCCCTACTATTCATCTAGGTCTTTGTACTCGCATATAGATTCTATCTATCTATCTATCATCTATATGTGTTAAGGTTGAGTAAATAAGGGTCAATATTAATATTTTTAATATGAAGCTAAGATCAAAGATGCAAACTAGCAGGAGGAAGGTTTAAAACTAACTGTAGAAAGTATTATTTTACAATGATCTTCTCACAAAGCTGCTACTTGTGTACAGACCTTCCATGCCTAATTCCAGCAAAATGTGAAAAAATAACTTATATGGAGAAATTCCTTATCCCTCGCAGGCCCCAGCAGCGTTTGGTCTGGTCTCGTTCCTCATGCATGCAGGACTAGAGAAGAAACAAATTCAGAAGCACCTACTGGCATTTTCAGTGGCAGCACCCCTACTTGCCATTACAACGTACTTAATTCTGACAATGGTAAGCTAACCATAAACATTTTTTTTATATATGGTCCTGTGTATTGTTCCTTGAATCTTGGTGAGCTTTGTGTATTTCTTCCAGATCTGTGCAGTCATCCAGTGTGAAGCTTGGAGCTTCCTGTAATAAAGACCGCTCACTGCTCTCACTCCTTGTGCAGGGTGACTGGTCTTGTCTCCGCCCCTCCTGTAGCTTTATGCAGGTAGTGGGTGGAGCCTGCTGGGTCCCTCCCACAGCTCTGCTGTCTACACAGGATATGTACAGCACAGTGATGATAGGGCAAAAGTATCAGGTTCTCTTGTAACCAACTGCTGATACGGTAATAGCAAAAAGTTTCCCAGCACACTCACCAGCCAGCATGCAAAAAAACTTGTCTCACCGCTAAGGTTTAAAACAGAGGTTTGGATACACGTCTTCTGCAGAAAATGTGGAAGCCGCACAGCCGCGCCAAGGCACCTCCACATAGTGCGGTCCTAACTCTAAACTATGGGAGCCTCCATCTTGGAGCACATGTGGCAAAAGATCAAATTGGGTGCAGGTTTGTCAGGAGGAAGCCCAACCTCCCTTAAAGGCACAGGTACGCACAAGGGACCCCGCACATCACAACGGCAGCTGAGTCCCCCCATGCGTCACTGCACCAAATCAGTCAAGCAAAACAAATGGCAAACGCACTCATCAATTTGTTACCAACTTTGCAGTAAAGTGCACATGGAAGGGCTTTTTTTGCATGCTGGCTGGTGAGAGTGCTGGGAAACTTTTTGCTATTACTGTTTGCTCAACTGCTGATACGTTCACAGCACTCCGCTGTTACTGATGTTTTTCATCAGAGCCAGGTGACCTAACCCTGTGAAAGCTCCATGTTGGAGCTTTCACAGGGTCAACTACTCTTCAAGATTTCATCCTGGGAGGAGGTCACATGCTCCCCCATTCTCAGAAAAACTGGTAATCAACGTGGGAGCATTAGGCACGTTGGTATAAGTGGGTGTGGGGGGTTTCGTACAAGAGAACCTGTCACTTAAAGTCAATGGAATATGGGGGAAGAAAGTAGCTCTAGCAGAGGGGTGGCAAACTCCAGCCCTCCAGCTGTTGTGGATCTACAAATGCCATGAAGCATTGCAAGACTCTTGACAGCCACAGACATGACTCCTAGAGACAGATGAATCATGGGACTGTAGGTGACATATGCTTATACTAACTTAATAATCTAAATAAATAACCACAAAACACACTAGTTAATTTGAATTGGCATTAATTGGCCGCGGCATTTTATTGGGATAAATAATTAAATCAATCTTTAATAATCAGTTAAACTCAATTAACCAGTAAAATGTTAAAACCAATCATATTGCCCAGTTGTTGAAACTCGAGCAATACATCACTCAAGGGAATAGTCCCCCTCGTATGAGGTGACAAACCACATAAAATACCGTGACATGGGGGGGGGAGGCTGCTTGAAAATCAGGATTCCAACTGATGATTATTCCTAGGAGCACCTCCTTATATAGGGTGGCTGTGGAAACTTCCAGAAATCCTCGTGGCAATGTTTTCCCGCCAAAATAACGATTTTTCCCGCCAAAAAATTGACAGTTAAATTCTCTTAAAGGGGCAGTAACTAAAATATATAAAACTGGGAAAAAGCACAAATAATAGTCCCCACATTCCCATGAAAATGGGCCTCTATTGGACGCCATTTTTACATCAGATTTGTAGTTTCATCACAGATGGAGGGCCTGGATTTTGCCCACCCCTGCTCCAGCAGATGATGCAAATGCTGCAAAAACCATTGATTGCCAGATGGACAGTGCTGCTAGACAGGGATTGATCAATGGGGTTTGTGGGACTTCCTCTAGTCCAGTCAAAAAATGTTTGCTTTATTTTGATTTCTGTCTCTTGTTGTTCAGACAGGGGGCAGCTCACAGCACAAACTCAGCGCTACGGGACACGGCATGCTGTTCTCAGCTGGGACTTTCCTCTACGTGGCCACGGTTCACGTCTTACCGGAGATCAGTGGCCGGGGGCACAATCAACCCCACGGGGCATCCGAATACAGACAGCAAGGACTGGGACTGTTAGAGAGTCTGACTCTGGTGGTGGGAGCCTTCCTCCCGGTCCTGCTATCACTGGGACTTCACGATGGCTGAACAAGGACCGAGCGAGCACTGCCAACGTACCCGATTATTCCACCGGAGATCGTCCCCCGTAACAAGTCCCAGGAAATAATTCCACAACACGAGGTGCGGCCCCTGGGATGATAGAACACGAATAGGACTTTTTATATAGAACAGTGATCTTAAGATCATTAGCTAAATATGATCTCTATTGTCCAGAATGTTCTATTAACGTCTAACTTACGAAAAAATCGAGTAAATTATTGTGATTAATAGAAATAGCCGTAAAGAGATTCTGATTTCCTGGGCCTTGCTCCGGAGATTTTCAACAAAAGTTGACGTATTTCTGTCCAGTCTGCTGACGGCCATTTTTGTAATTTGGCCAATAGCGGTGTCTGTGTCCATTCTTAAAGGGAATCTGTAATGTTTTTACAATGTTTTTTTTTTTAAATATATAAACTATTTAAATACTGATCTGCTTACAGTTGAATTCCAACTTCTTACACTATGCTAATACATTTTTTTGGTTTTTGCTGCCTTTGTCCCATTGGAAAGATTTCCTGTCCTGGCCTGAATCTCCCCAGTGGGGACAGAGACAGTTCCAACCCAACCCAACCCTTCCGCACTCGTTTTATATTCAATATTTTCCACGTCATTCCTTTGGTAGTGCAATGCAGTGATAGTATGGTAATGCTCCCCTTTATCTCATTGCCTCGGCGGTCTCTAGGCTTTCACTGAAATACACTCTTTGAAATTCACTGAAAGCCACCCTTGGTAGCTCAGCCTGCAACTGAGTATTCGGCAACATTCAGGGGCCGAGGGGGCTACAATCTGTACACAAAATATGATAAGAAAATAAAGAAAACAAGGAAGGATGAAAGAAGGGAAAATGTAAACGTCACAGTAAGTCAAAAGTAACCCAATTAAAGTCTCCTAATCGATGAATCAAGGAGCTTGTCCCCTAGAGTCAGTCTATAAGCGGCTTGGTTTTCATTTGTGAGTCTGCACGCATTTGCTCACATACAAGGCGGTTGCCTCAGGCGGCATCTCTTTGCATCATGTGGGGGGTTGCAGACGTTGTAACCTGTGATGCTCTGGCCAGTGTCCTGCCTGGCTCCTGGCAACCAGTGATGTCAGCTGGGGGGGACACCAGACAGAGCCGAAGCCAGAGGTAACCATCAGCACCCCCTCGGTAATGTGCACCACCAGCAACCCCTCCCACGCAAGTAACATGCGTCACCATTCATTCATTCAAATCCAATCAGGAAGGGACTAAGAACTCTGATGTGAAGTGGGGGACTAAGAACTCTGATGTAAAGGGAGGGATGGGACTGAGGCCTCTGATATGAAGGGGGGACTGAGAACTCTGATGTGAAGTGGGGGACTAAGAACTCTGATGTGAAGAGGGGGACTAAGAACTCTGATGTAAAGGGAGGGATGGGACTGAGGCCTCTGATATGAAGGGGGGACTGAGAACTCTGATGTGAATCGGGGGGGCTGAGAACTCTGATGTCAATTGAGGGGGTGAGAACTCTTGACGTGAAGGGGTGGCTGAGAACTCTGATGTGAAGTAAGCTCCTGATGTGAATGGAGGGAAGAACTCTGATGTGAAGTGGGACTCCATTTTAGTCTGGAGTGCCTTGACATTTTTCATATATGTAGAGGTGGCTGTGACTGAAGAAAAGGTTGAAAACTCTGCTCACATGAAGAAGATTGCAACAATTCTGTGATTTGTTAGTAGTGGCTCCAATCACTAACCTAAGAGCCCATTCACACCAGGGTGGATGCGGATCAGCGCGGTTACCCAGCTGATCTCAAAAGGGAGGTTTTGGGAGTCCTTAATTGCGTTTAAGCGCTGAAAAGCAATTTAAAAACGCCCCAAACCGTTCTAATCATCGCGGTTTCATTGAAAGCTGTATGGAAACCGCACTGATCAGGAAGGCAAAAATAGTGCAGGGAGCAGTTTGGGCGGGTGGAGGTTTGGATCATGCGGACCCACGCAGTCACAGGAACAGTCCCCATAGCAATGTATGGGATCGTTCATGTCGGTGGATCCGTTACGTCAGATCCACGCTGCCAAACTGCCCCGGTGTGAACAGGGTCTAAAACGAGTAATCAACAGATACCTTCTGTATTGAGAATACACTGCTGAGCTCCGCCCTGGTTTACTTGATGATGTTAGCACAGTGATGTGAAATGTTATACTGCATCCCGAAGAACATTTCATGTAAGCAGCTCCGTTACGCTCTGACTCTGGTTGTTATGTACTTTCATGGCCCGGAGAATTCCAATCAGAAGGATTTACCATTGGTTTGCACAGTTGAGTACAGTGGTCACTCCATCTCTGCCCTGTCACTGTAGGGGACAGCGTGAGGCAGATTTCTATGATGGGACAGTTTTTGGGTAACATTGCTTCGTTGGTTATTCACAGTCAAATGACGGTGATCACAAGGAGATGAAATTTGGCTTCTGGACCCCTTGCTGTGACTATGGTTAGTAACAGTCTGATCATAGAAAACACAAGTCTTTACACATTCATGTGTGCACTTTACTTTTCTGTGCCCCAAATGACCAATGTTATAAGACAAGTTCTATGTGGTGTTGCAAGCTGCTGCACCAATCACATTAAAGTGCCATGTAACAGTTTCCATGAATGTCTGAGCCAATGTCCTAATTGAAATACAGTTCTAATATATTCATTGATACCAGAGTGGTGTAAATACTGTCATGAGGAAGGGCGACAAAGAAGTTCAGTGCTGCAGCAAAGGGTAGGCAAGGGGGATGTGCATGGACAGCCAGCAAGAGGAGGAGAAATGTAGGAAGATCCCAGCAGAAGATTTGCTTGTGGTGCCCTCACAAGCCAAGCAGGCAAATCAAGCCTCACTTCTGGGTAGCAGAAGTTGCTATTGAGGCGCATTTCCGGAGCAACTCCACTTTGTCAGGCCTGTGGTGGCTTGATAAAGGGAGAGGAGCTGCACAAAGTTAGGGAGGAAGAGGGTTCTTTTCACCAGTTCCGCACTATGAATGGTTCAGGGGTACTACTCTCTTTGCTTAAACCAGTGTGTTATACTATGGAACAGACTACAGGGGCCACATTCCTCTGCAAGCTTCTGCAAACAGAACACAACATATACATCTTCTCTGCATACTCATCTCTCCCTCTTATATTGCAGCCTAACCAAGCTGCTTAGATCCTGCCCAGCCACTGTACAATATTTGTGGCTATTGTCTCTCAGATAATACATTCTAATGTTTATTTCAAGATAAAACCTGCCTTGTCTCTCCCTCTTATATTGTGGCTTAACTAACCTGCTTACATCCTATCCAGTCACTGTACAATATTTTGTGGTTATTTTTTCTCAGATAGTATACTCTAATTAGTATTTTACTATAAAACCTGCCTTGTCTCTCCCCCTCTTATACTGAAGCCTAACCAATCTGATTACACACTGTCTAGCCACTGAACAATATTTGTGGCCATTGTCTCTCAGATAATACAATCTAATGATTATTTCAAGATAAAACCTGCCTTGTCTCTGTCTCTTATACTGCAGCCTAACCAAGCTACATGCCTCCTGTCCAGCTACTGTACAAAATTTCTGGCTATTTTTCTCATAATACACTCTAATGTTTATTTCAAGATAACTCCTGCCTCATCTCTACCTATTATGCTGCCTAACCAAACTGCTTACAAACTGTCTAGCCCCTGAACAATATTTGTGGCTGTTGTCTCTCAAATAATACAATCTAATGATTATTTCAAGATAAAACCTGCCTTGTTTCTGCCTTTTATACTGCGGCCTAACCGAGCTACTTGCCTCTCGCCCAGCTACTGTACAATATTTCTGGCTATTTTTCTCTCAGATAAAACCCTCTGAAATGTATTTCAAGATAAAACCTGCCTTCTCTCTTCTATTTGCTGCCTATTCAAGTGCTCCCATCCTGATGCTAGCCAATCTCTACCAAACACATACCTGAATACCTCTTTATTTTGAGTATTTTTTAAAATAATTGGGGATACAGAGATTGGAAGGGGTTTGTGGAATGTGGGGTTGTGGTTTTTCTGCACTCTTTTGACATTTTATTAAACTTTTAGGACAATGGAGTGTTCTACTGCGAAGCAAAAAAGAAACTCACAAACTATACTATGAAACATTTTTCCACTGGCCAATATGTACAATGTTAAGAGCTTCAGCTTTATTTTTTTTATTAAGAGAACAATTTTCTATAGCTTTCAGATCTATTGTGTCTGCTACTTCCACCAGTCAGTTCAGGCCTTTTACCCCTCAATATAAAATTAGTTGTCACAGCCAAACATACCAAAAAAAGCCTTTCTTTCATGTTGAAATGAATCAGATCGGGGTGTCGCTGCTGTATTTAAGCCAAGCTAAATGTAAAAGTTAAAAAAATCAATTACACATCCTAAATATTTAATGCCAGCATATGGTGTCACTGGCACTGATTGTGAAAATTGTAAAGGCATCTCCCAAACATGTCATTTAACGTGTGCTGCGTCTACCTGCAGTGCGAGAAGCAAAACAAGGAGTCGTGTGTTGAGCTTCAAGGAGCATGCAGATAGGAGGAGAGCGCAGAATGGGAGAAACATGAGCTTGTCAACGTGCTGCTTCTCCTTGCAATGTTCAGTCACAGCGCTGAGGGAGGGACAAGACCTCTAAGTATTACTTAACTGCAGCAGATGAAAAGCATGTCTCCTGCCCTGCCAGACAGAACTGTACTGTGTGGCGGGGCTATGTAAACGTTAGGACTGGATGGACAGAGATGCAAATCCTTTGATAGATTAAACCGCTCCCATATACTGTATGCATTTTATCTGTGTATTCAGCTGTTTGCTTGGAGTTCAGCTTCAAAACAACTAAGTACTTTCCATAGCCTGTCTGATATACCCTGCAGCAACAGAGGCAGCAAATAATATGAATACAGCATTGATATCCAGATCGGAGAGCGAGAATGAAGAAGTGTGATGAGCACTGGGAATGCTAAATGCTCCCCATTGTGTTTCACTTATAATACTATTCGTACCAGTCTCTCCCTGATTCCTCAGTGTCCTCTTTCTGTTCGAGGGATGGATCTGTTCAAGGGTCAGCGGACTGAACTACATCTTCTGAAGTGCTGTGCGGTGCAGATATAATATACAGTAGCTTGTCCCGGCTTGGGGGCCACATGAAGAAAGCATGTCCCTGCTAACCAAATATAAAGACCAACTCCAGCCCTGGCCCATCATTGTTCCAGCCTCTACCCTGTGACGTGTATTTAATGTAGAATGCAGTGTTATGCATTATGTACTTATCAATGATGGATAATATATTTTAGTTCTGGGTTTTGCTTTGTCCAGTCATTCCAAGATAACTCATGACACTTGGACATAGAAAGCCTCATTCTTTCTACATCCTCTTTTTTTCTTAGATTTAGTCAATCATTAACACGTGTTTCCAGCCAAAAGTTTAATAA